CGTCCTAATTCAAAATAAATAATCAAAAAAATTAATTAATTATGAGTGTAATATGATATTTACTATGAAAAATATCCTTGATTACAATATGAGTTTTTAAAAAAATTTTAATTCTAGATATAATCTTTCAAAAAAATTTTAATTAAAAATATAACATTTTTTTAAATTAAGGTAACATCTTTTAAGAGTTCTAATTAATGATATGACCTTTGTGATGTTTTTAAAAAAGGATCAAGGAAAAAATGTGCTATGTTATTTTCTTGATTAGAAACATATGAAAGGTGGTAGTCTTAATTTGTAAAATAATAAAGATTATATCTTTAATTAGAAATTCTTGAGGTGTGGTAGTCTTAATTCATAAAGAAAAATGGTTATATTCTTAATTAGAAAATTTTTTAAAAATTTTATACTTTTTTTATACCAATTCTCTTTTAGAAACTCAATAACTTACTTCATTAAATGATTAAATTAATCACTCGATCTTCTTCCTTACAAACATTCCCAATTAATGAGAACCATCGCCGTACCTTTCGTGATCATATATAAAGACATAAAAATTTGATATATGAGTCGAAACACAAGACAAAATTTTAATTCACAATAAATGAGATAACTTGATCTTCTTGTTTTTAAGTTACACATTTCTTATTATGTTTCTATGTAAAACTAGGATTTTTCATCAATATATGTTCTTTTTTTGTTGGACCTTTTGTAGTTCATTTGCTCTTAATAACCTTTTTGACGCTAGGCAAGATTGATGCACACACCAAACTTTATTGCATGTGAAACAATATGCATGGAAAGAACAAAAACTCGGATGTATTTTTGATGCAAAGCGATGAAGAATGAAAAGATGATCAAACCGTACGTTTGCCAGCTAATGGTGAATATGCATTAACGTGATGATCAAACTGTCTGCCAGCCAATGGTGAATATGCATTAACATCATGATCAAACTGTCTGCCAGCTAATGGTGAATATCCATCAACATGTATAAACGGAATAAGCAAGGACCAAATGGGATGCTAAGTGATTGAGACATAAATCTAAGGAACACACAAAATATATACCGCAATTAAAATTTTTTTCTCTTGAATTTAAATTTAAAAACAAAATATCTTATTCAGTGTGTTGAATTGAAATATATACCAATTATTGTTGTATCCAATACCAAACAGCTCAAACATTCTTGTTCCTAATTTAACTTCTGTATATAATTTGATGATTAAGGGAGAAAATGTGCAGATAAAAATAAAATTTTTTTCAGTTTTTTATTTAATAATAGAAAATTTTTGGGTTTTTAAATTATGTGGTAAACTTTTATTTATTTATTTTTTCTAAATAAGAATACAAATTTTGAGTGTTTTCTATTTAACAATTTATTGAATGACAATAATAATGTGACAAATAACCATCTTGACCAAAATATAGTAAAAATTCATATTCTTAAATAGAAAAAATGGCAAAATTCATATATTTTAATTGAAAAAAAAAATATTACCTAATTTAAAAGCCCAAAAAGTTTGTATACTTAAATAAGAATTCTTATTTATGAAATTTAAGTAAGAATGCTTATTTAAGTAGTGATTAATTAGAGATAAATATGAAATTTTATCAATTAAGTATGCACAACATCCTTATTTTATTGAATAAAAAACTAAACTTATTAAATTTGAATAAAAGGAGTAATTATTTACTTAGGCATTTAACTATGAAAAATAATTACTTATCGTACTAAATAAGTCATGATTCAAATCCATTTATAAATATAAGCGTAATTCATAAATTTTCATATTTATTTCTAATTAACTACTTTTTTTTTTCAAGATAACTATTTTTTTTTTCTTCAAATTACCCCTTTTTTTTCAAAATAAC